GGATTTGCTACCCCATCTTTCAACTTGTTCATGTTTGTATTATAGCGTTAACAACAACCGGATGGTTGCTATACAAGACTCTTGAGAGCAGCACTAAATGTCAACTGGAGGGACCGTGTGACAAATATAGACAGACTGAGAGACCGCCACCTCCGTTTCAGTTGGCAATAATTGCTGGAGGAGTAAGAGTGAAATCATTTCACAAATGCTCTTCTGGGAGCCCTCAAGGGGCAAACGCACCAGAGGGCGCCCAGCAATGACTTGCACAGACCATTTAGAAAAAGACACCTGTCTACCAAGGCAGGAACTCCCAAAGATCATGGAGAATATATAGAACTGATTGGAAAAAGCTTGTCAGATCGGTGCGAGAACGCTCGACCTAGTAGTTTTTAATTTCCGATAAATTTTCATTATAAGCCTTTTCTCAAATTTATATTATATCTCATGTTTATACTCAGCAGTGCTTTAGGAAGCTTAAACATAGTACGTTTCTGCGTAATCCCTTTTAAATCTAAATGATAGTGAAGGTGGGAACCCTGTGGTACATGTAAATTGGCTCTCATATGAGAGATCCCGGTTCGATCCTCACTCGAAGCTTACACCCCTCGACAAAGGTTTTTACCACATTTGCCCCTTTTCACCCAGGGCTATCAAAATGAACAGGCCTATGTACCTGGCAGTGCTTGGGTAATTTTAATTGATTGCAGGGCCCGTTGGAAGAGCCGTATGTGGTTACTTGGGATACATAAAAACTAATTATTATCATTTATTTATACATACATATACATATACTTATTCATACACGGTCATTAAACCCATATAAGGATGATATGTATACAATTGATAACACACTAGATAAATATAACAATACACGAATAGAATATTAACTCGTATACTATTATAATTCAACTAGAGTTGCGAACAAAATTGTATTTTATTTCCATTAAAAATTATTGGGAATTCATTTGTTAAATATCACATTAGTTAAAAAGAATGTGCTGAATTATTTCTCCATGGAAAAAACAACCCTTAAATCATTTTGTACTATATTCTGTATCGCAAGTTTACAGGGTCCTTAAGTAATAAGCAAACATTAATCGACTACGAGGGTAATGGTGCAAACTATCATCGCCGAGGTGATCTCGGGGCTACTATCATCCCGAGCCGCTGGGTGAGTCATGATGGTAGCCCCGAGATCACCGAGGCGATGATAGTTTCTATCCATTGCCCGAGTAAAGGAGGTTAATAGTTGTTTCATATCCCGCATCGGCAATATAATAAGGTCTATTTAAAGTGAATTTTACTTAATTAAAACAACTGATTTTGCAGACAGTTTAGCTTCAGCTAGATTTTACAAAGCACAACATGCGTACATGTAATACAGTCGATGCGCGCTCATTTGACATTGACATTAGGGACTTTTAGATTTGCGTGGACTGATGCGTGTGACGTCCATTCACGGCAGTGCATTAACAGGACGTCGATCGTAGCATAGACCTATTGTCTTCGTGCGAATCTAAAAGTCCCTATTGACGTAACCTACTTTGCTATGCTTATTCAATGCGCAAGTCGCGCAAGTGGGGCAGCAGCAAAAAATTACTTTACAAAAGACCTATCTCAGGTAGATAGTACTTATCTATAATTTATCACGTGACCTCGTTTAGACCAATCAGATTAAAAATTACTTTACAAAAGACCTATCTCAGGTAGATAGTACTTATCTATAATTTATCACGTGACCTCGTTTAGACCAATCAGATTAAAAATTACTTTACAAAAGACCTATCTCAGGTAGATAGTACTTATCTATAATTTATCACGTGACCTCGTTTAGACCAATCAGATTGCAAGATTCTTAATATGCGGGATATAATACAGGCTAAACTGACGCTGGTACAATATTCAAAGAAGACGAAAGAAATAAATGAATAAAAATGTCTAGTAAGCAAATAACTACCGTTTCATTATCTAACGTTTCATTAAATTATTAAAGAAAGAAGACAATTCGTTGTACCATTCTCGACTCTTAATCATTGTCTGAATTCACTTCACCCCCCCCCCCTTCCCGCGCGAAGCGCGGAAGCTTTGACGTTTCATTAAATTATTAGAAAAAGAAGACGATTCGTTGAATCATTCTCGACTCTTAATCCTTGACTGAATTCAGTTCTACCCCCTTCTCGAGCGAAGCGCGGAAGCTTTGACGTTTCATTAAATTATTAGAGAAAGAAGACGATTCGTTGTACCATTCTCGACCCTTAATCCTTGCTGAATTCTGTCCCCCCCCCCCCCCCCTTCCCGCGCGAAGCGCGGAAGCTTCGACGTTTCATTAAATTATTAGAGAAAGAAGACGATTGTACCGTTTTCGACTCTTAATCCTTTTTCTTCCTACGTCATCTTCCTATCTTCTTTCTCTCTCTCTTTTTTTTTGGGGGGGGGGGCGACCGCCCCTACCACCCCCTGGCTACGCGCCTGTATCCTCTCTGTCTCTTATTATCTCTCTCTCCCACTCTCTTCTGCTTTTTTGCACTTTTGCGCTTCGCGCTTAACATTTACTAAGCTCGTTGCTTTTTAACGCTGCGGCTTTGCATTTGGCGCACTGGATTTCTATGATGCTGTTGGTTGAATAAATTGAATGAATTCATCAATTCCTGATGAAGCCGTATGAGCGAGAATTAAATTTATACTTGTCTCATATACGGTCGTCTCATTTACTTCGTTTTCTATTTATATATGTATGTATTATGAAAATGAGATAGCAAAATGTGTATATTGATGGTCATCTTGCGAGTAATAACCATTAATTACTCTCATCGGGCTCTTATCATTAATTTTTCTCTTATTTTTTTTGTTTTTTGATGGTGAATTATTGGGGGGATGATTGTACAGGCCATCCCCCCCCCCACCTGAAATATTGGGGGGGGGGGGGGTATATCCCCCCATCCTCCCCCCCCCCCCCCGGATCGACACCCATGGTAATGAGCATAGAAAGATTAGGAAATCAAGGTTAGTAGCCCCGACACCATTTGTGTAGTCCCATCTTTCTGTGTACAGTGCTTGTTACTTTACCAAGACTGGGCCAAATTTATTATCATTTTGATGACTCCAGAACTTTGCGGTACATATACATACATTCTACATTATCAACCTTTACTGATCCATTCCACACATTTTGTTTCACAATGCAATCGGATGACCAGAACTCACCTTTATCTTTAAACCATGTATATATATATATATTAAGTGGCTTACAGAACCATATCACTTCAACTGTGTTCCTTATCGCATGTATAAAGGCATATGCAGTCAACAAGTTATGTTAATTAGTGCGATGTTAGTAGGGCCACGGTTTTGTATACATGTACAATCTGTTGCTCTTATTTTGTTGAGATTTTGCTTCTATTTAACATACTACGTTGTTTTTGCTTTAAAAATAAAAATAATCGCATTATGTCTGGAATTGATTTCAATAGATTATTTGAATTTGAATGGTTTCAATGGTGTAAATTAAAAAGAGAAAAGTGATGAACAACGGACGTTTTGATAGTGGGATTAGAGAAAGAGGAAGAAAAAAGGAGTGAGAAGGAAAAGAGGAAGAGAGGGGACCAGAGAGAGAGAGAGAGAAAAAAAAGAGAAAGAGAGAGAGAGAGAGAGAGGGAGAGAGAAAAATCACTAGAGAGAGAAAGAGAAAAATAAGAGAGAGACAGAGGGGGAGGGATGGAGTTCGATAGTAATGAAGACTTGGATAAAGATAATAGAGAGAGGAGAATAATTTGCTGAGATATGTTAATTTTGATGAGGGTAAGAAATTGTATATATAGAAAGGGTCCTTTCACCTTCTTTTCTCGTCTCTTTTTCCAATTTCTCTCTTTTCTTTGCTCTGTCTCTCTGTCTCTTTCTCTCTCTCTCTACCCATGTCCCTCTCTCTCTCTCTCCCTCTTTCTCTCTCTCTCTCTCTCTCTCTCTCCTTGACAAATGTTTTCAGTCTGTTTTCCCTCTGTCATTCAATTGCATGGGGGCAGATGCCCCATGTAGTTACGCCACTTATATCAATGTCCAAAGGCAAATCATGGACCCTTCCCAAGTCTTGCAATTACCACTCTCTTTTTTCACTTCCTACCCCGTTTCGGGCAAAATGCAGCCTTTTGAAATATCTATTTTTCTTTTTTTCTTTTCTCGCATTACAACCAAAATAAGTTAATAGTGGGTTCTTGTATAGCGCTCATGTCAGTCAGATTTGACCCTCCTGGTGCTCCCGATGAAACCAAGCCCCTTGTGAATAATTATGATTGGGAGATACAAAGACATGAAGGGAGACAGAAGGATTCGGGAGAGAGATCGAGAGAGAGAGAGCGAAAGAGAAAAATGAAGAAGGAGTGGTGTGTAAAATGAAGATTTAATTATTCAAATGTTAATATGTATCATACAACAACAACGAAATGGGGAGGGGCAAAAATATTTATATAAGCATATTGCTCCCTCGACCACCCTACAACCCCGACCTCTCTCTCTCTCTCTCTCTTACTCCCACCCCTCCTCTCTCATACCCCCTCTCTCTTCTCTCTTTCATCCCCCGTTTCTTTTATGTCATTTACTCTTTTTTGCCTTTTTGCCTTTTCTCCTTTTCTTTCTTTTGTTTCTTTTCACTCTTTTCCTTTCTTTTCTTTTCTTTCTTTTCCTTTTTTCTCTCCTTTTTCTCTTTCTTTCTTCTTTTCTCTTTCCTTTCTTTTCTTTTCCGAGTTTCTTTTCCTTCGCTTTTTTCTTTTCTTTTCTTTCTCTCTCATTTTTCCCTCCCCCTTTTCTCATTTTTTCCCGACGGCAGCACAATTTTACCGACAATATCCTGATAGGGTGTCGCAACCCCCCCCCCCCCCTCTCTTTCTCTCTATCTAGCGACGCGAAGCCCAACTACTATACGCCTACGCCTGTACTGTACCAGCCGAAGAAAATTTGCACTGGATTTATTTAGCATGCACTCGACAGACAGAGAGTACACATCGACTACGTACAACGCGCGCGCTACTAATTGAACCGCGCATTTAGAACATACCAACTTACGTGTGTGGGATCTGTTTACGATATGGCGGCGAGTTCGGAAATGTTTTGATTCTTTTCCTTGCTGAATCTGGAAATTCTGAGGTATGTTCGACGCTTTTTAATATCTCAAAACATTTAGATAAATACCATGTATATTATTGATAACATTTAGTTCAGCTTTAAATCATTGAATCCAGTAATTTGCGATGCGAAAGTACGTTGTCGGCTTCGTAGCCAGGGACGCTTTAGCAGCAAGTTTGACGATTGATCTTGCTGTGCAGTGCATGCAAGTGCCAGTGACCCGAAGCGCTGGCGCGCACTGCACTCAATCAGCATGAACTGAAATAGAAGTTTAAGAAAACTCCACCACAATTATGGGCATGATTCACGGGAAATTAATTTATCTTTTACAAAAGAGAATGATCAAATATCTTGATTTCATATCTGCAAATTCATTTGATTGACTCTCTTTATCAAATCACCTGAAAAAAAAATCGAAATGTCATTTGACTTTGTTGGATTTCCATTTCAGGCTCTCACTCAGTTTTCGTTCTGTCTTGCGCCTTCATCGCCAGTCTTGAGTATACTCTAGAAATATAGATCTATGCGGTGTCAGACAGAGGCCAATGATCTAGAAATAGTTATCCACATAACTGGCTGTCTGTCATCAATTAGATCTATCCCTTTAAAAATCCCTTTTAAAATCCTCTAACGAAACAAGAACATTTGGCGCTTGTTCAGAAACCTATCTAGATCTATCCAAAATTTGACCCGTAACTCCGGAGTGGAGAGTCCACTAAAACATACCCAAAATGAAGTAAATATTCATTAAATGTCCAAATAAAGATCATGAGTTAAATGTTGTTATGTTTATTACCTGTTTCGTGTCATTTTCTTGTTATTTTTGGAGTATTTTTCTGATAAACGTTGATATTAGTAGGTCTAGATACACTTTTTCACAGGTTTCACGGCAAACCGCAGCACAATAAGTCAATAGGACTTACAAGTCTGAAGTGCATACCGATGATGGGTTGCGGGCGGGCGTGCGCCTGTGTGAAGTTATCTACCGTAATGTCTCAGATCCTCATTCACACAGCTCAGGCGCATGCCCACCCGCAATTAACCCACCATTGATATGCACTTGTAAGTTGTATTGTGCAGTGGTTTGCCGTGAAACCTGTCAAAAAGTGTATACTGATATCAACGTTTTTTCAATAAGTCTCAAAAACAAAAAAAATACACATGTATGTAACAAAGTGCACAAAAATATCGGTTAAACGGATCGACAATTGCTAAACGTTTTTGATGAATGAGGTTGTTTAACCACCAGTTTAAAGGTTTGACTCTGGCTTAATCATAACCTGCATGCGCACAATTATATTAGCACGCATTTAATGAGATGCAGTAATTGCGCATTACTTTTGATTGAACGTGTGATGTCACAATGCTTATCTACCTGAACGGCGCATTGTGTTGCATACTAACATGCATGGTGCCATATATTTTATTGGTGTAGGCAGATCATTGTCATAATGACCAAATGCAATACATGATGGATTAGATAAAGGTGAGCATCATTTAAATAAAATATGTCACACCCTTGTGCCGGACACACTCAGTTAGATCTACAATACTAAAAAACAAAACAAAATCAGAAAATGGTTTTGATAAATCAGGAAAACACAAATTGTGGTAACAAAAAAAAATTGCAGTATCAGAATACTGCATGCTGTTGAACAGCCGAGTGTTGTACACACCGTAAGCTACAGTGATCCCCATTCTGCACATAGATAATTTTTTCCCATTTCTATTGAGTGTACTTAACTTCTATTCTTTATATTATTAAAATAATAACAAAACTGCACTGCATGTATTTACTTTAAAAAAATTGGCAATCATACCTTTTTAAAATGGTCTTTTGGCAGAGAAATCCTCATGTCGTCCACAGTCACCTTTTAGAAACCCTCATCCATCAAAAGCAAAGCGGGAAAGACCAACATGGCAAAGTACATTCTCCAGGCACTCTCTGGCAAGGAGTCTACAAAGCTAAATGAAGACTTTGAAGGCGACATCGACGACCATGACCTTGAGAAGAAGGAGAGTGACCTTGACACTAAGATGACCACTTTTGATGAGACCCTCTTTCCGGAGATGTCGGAGCTACATCCGAAGATGAACACCATATTCGCCGATATACAGTCCAGCATTCCGTCCCTAGACTTTGAAGTTTCAAGTGTAAGTTTTTTACATCCCATAGCCATGCAATGTCACTTGTTGCTAGGTCAGCCATAGCTAGGCCCAGAGCTGCAAATCATTTCAGTTTTCCTGGATTCTTCATAAAATACCAAATGCCCTAAAATGTTGATCACTACCTCAATGAATTTACAAAAAGTAAACGAAAAAAAAAAAAAAGTGCAACACTTAAATATTTTCTAAAAGAATGAAACACTGATAATACTCCCAAAACAACAACAAAATCTACCTACTTGTAAATAAACTGTACATGTAGGTCCTAATATGGAAATAACATTTCTGCATTGGAAGTGTGTCGCGCGTGGTTGCAAGTTTCGTCTTAATGAATCGTGGTTCCTTTTTTTGGTTGCACAAGGTTGGCAGCTCTAGATCCTGGCAAGCATTAGGATTGTTCATCAGGCCTTAAATTTCAATATATTTGGGCAAGGCCACTTTTCTGTAGGGCACATTTCTATATTACAGCACAAATAAGAATTGGAAAGGGCACAAAAAATCTCCAAGGCCAATGAGAGGGGCATTGAGGTCAATCAAAGGGGCATCCACGGCCATGGCCTTGGTGGCCTTGGATTAATTTAAGCCCTGGTTCATATTATGTCATTAAATATTAGCCTATTACATGCATGTACATGATAAGTGGGCTTTCATATGAAAGGTTCATTATTCCTCGTTCATCTTGTTACAAACAGTGTTCCATCATGACATCAAACCTCGCAGTTTGTGGGACTGTCTTGAATTTGGGAAGTATGATTAGCTGAAATTTGTAACTCAACTGAATTAAAATCTACATGTATGTACTAAGGGCAGTTTACATTGTCATTGGTATTTTTAGGGGTTAAAGAATGACTTTTCTATGCAGTTTTCTGTGTATTTCTACTTGTTTCAGCGTGATTTCTAAAATTGACAATTTGAGGGGTTAATAGAATACAAAACATCCTTATTCATATAGAATAGGTAATCTGGTTGAAATTAAAGTCATCAATGCTCACTTATCAGGCATGATACTTACCCGATTTAAATCGATTTCCCAATTATTTATTTTTTCCCCTAATTTTTGTATTTATTTTTTTCCCCCCTTTCCCCCCCCCCCCCCCCCCCCGATTTTACCTTGATTTTTCCCTCATTTTCCCTTTTTTCTCCTATTTTTTTCTTAATTTTCTTACTCAAAAGGTTGGGAATGTTGTTAAATGCCATTCTTTTTCCCAATTTTTTTTCTTTTTTTTTCCCTTTAATCATTGAGGGGAATTGTTTTTAAATTTAATTTTTTTTTTTTTTTTTTAGTGCTCATGCACCCCTGACATATTCAAATCAGAATCAAGCATCTTTCTTTTGTTGTGTTGTGATATATAGGTGAGCTCAGATGAGGAACTCAGTGTCTTCAATCGTTCTATGAAGACCCCTCGCTCAGACAGGGATCCCACTGAAGACACACTGACCCCTGAGGCATGGCGAAAGGCTCTGGAACCCACCAATGACCTTGAGGACATCCCTGTCCAAGCACCTACCTATGAATACATCAAACTTGGCCAGGAATCCAGCCCTTACCGAAGTGCCACTTCCTTCAAGTCCCCAATGCCAAAGCTTGTCGAGACCGAGAGCAGCGGGGAAGCCACCAGTCCAAGGATCTTCAACCGTCGCTTGATGTCGATGTCTTCGACCGGCTCTGATGACGGGGTTGTCCGCTCGCCCCTCCTCGCTCAGGACCTTGTCCCTCGTGATATGATTCCGTCCATAGATGACTTTGATGATGGAGACGACAGCCTCGGACATTCTGGCAGCAGCTTCGGCAACTCCGAAGGCAGCCTTGGACAATCGGGTAGTAGTCTTCAGACTGTTATTTCATCCGTTGTTGCAGAAAGCTTCGGACTGGATCTTGAGGAAGAGCTTAACAATCACAACTTTGGCCTAGACATTCATCCAGGAGAGGGTATCCTGGAAGTTGCCAGGGAATCTGTCCCTGTAGAATCCATACTGGAAGAGCTCACCAAAGGTTCTCCAAAGGATTTAGATAATCGAGAGGCGGCCAAGGAGCAGATCAAGGCAACCCAGAATGAAGACGATGCCATCATTGATATGATGCTCCCTGCAGAGGTACCCACTCTGGCCATTGAGAAAGTGGATTTCATTGACCTTGACCTCTTGATTGATGCCTTTCCTGAGAGGTCAAATGTCATGGAGGGGTCAGGAAGTCAACCAAGTGGGAAAGGAGATGGAAAAAACACTGGTTAGTATCTAAAACAGAGTAAAATAATTAACCCCTCCTACATGTATATTTTCTGTAGCAAATCCAGTGAAGAACTGAGTATTGGAAATATGTCTTGAAAGAATATTGTAAGGTATTCAACTTCAGTGGAAGATGTTTTATGCCCAAATTGACAATGGAACAAACATTACTTTTCAAAGTTGTGGTTATTCATGAACCTCGTGGCTCAGAAAGGGTTAAAGTAAAACACTGTCCTGGATAAGATGGATTTGACAGATGAATAGGTTGTGGATGTGCCTTTTAACAGGCACATTTTGTCAATTTTGATTTACATAGGGAGATCAGAAGCTATCATCCACACTTAATTATCATATGCTTCTTTTCATGAATGATTGTATATTTTTGAGGACAAGAAAAGTTAATGATAGCTCGTCTTTCTGGCTTGAACATCTCTGGTCCTCTTCTCAGGCTCATCATGTAAGACCAACTTTTCCACTCGTTGATGTTGAAAATGAAAAACTTTTTCCATCATTTGTTAACATGTTCATAGGTGTTTTATCCATTTTTCTTTCTTTCTTTCTTTGTTTACAGCAGATAATACATGCTTAATGGATAAGCTAGCCCAGCTGTGTATCGATCAGTCCGGGGGGAAGATCAGCAAAAGAGACCTCACTCCCTCCCCCTCGCAGCAGGGGAGGAAGAAGAAGGCTAAGGGTCTAGCTGCTAAACCGCCAAAGCCACCTCCTAAAGTGGTCTGGGAAGAGAAGACTAGTCCTAAAAGGTATGTAGATTTTGTATTCATACAAAGATCAAAGAGTTTTTAAGGGCTTGGATTTTTTATTCTCCAGGGATAAAAGGTTTGCAGCCCCTCCCCTTCTCGGCTGTGGTAGAGCTGATAAGATGCCTGGGCCCGTCTTATAAAGAGTTGTGATTGATCCAAATCAATCGTAAGTCCTCTAATCGAAAGTTTCCATCATCTATCCCTTAGGCCTAAAAAAAAAGACGTTTTATTCCCCTTGGCGACCGACCCAAAAATCCTGAAAGAGGGAAGAAAAAAAAAGTTATTAAAAAAAAAAATTTTACCGACCAACCCATGTTTTGGCACCTAAAGGGCAATACAACATCTCTCTTTTTGAGGCCTACATAGTTGCGATTAATATTGATCTCAAATGAGTTGCAATTATTATCAACTCTTTGTTATCATTGCACCCACCCTGCTGAGAGAGCATTTGAAGACCAGGGGGGGGGGGGGGCGTTTCACAAAACTTATCATCAGTGACAAATGACAATTTGTGTTATAAGCTACTAAAATCCTTGCTTCTGATCGGTTATCAGCAGATTTGTCACTGATTTTTGTTATTTGTCATTGAAAAAAGGCTTTGTGAAACACCCCCCCCCCTGGTAGGATTTTCAAAGATCATATTTGTGCCCCTCTAACCCCCCCCCCCCCCCCCCTTTGAAAATCCTGGTTGTAGCTATTGTATTGGTTGTTCTAAAGACAATGAAAAAAGGGTGGGGATGGAGAAGAGAGCTTCAAGAATTTAGACAAAGATAAGAAAGAAGAGAGAAGAGATTGTAAGAGAAAAAAGAGGAACATGCTTGAAGACAAGGGATGACTTGACATGAGAGAGAGAGAGAATAAGAGGAGAAAAGAAAGAAGAGAATTGAAAGAGAGAATATTATTGAAGATGATAACAAACAACAACCTCCTGCTGCTTTAAATTCAAACTTATTTTGGTGGCATTGAAATGAATGCTGATTGTCAAGTTTAAATATTTAGAGATGATACTAAACATCACTCTTTCTCTTTATTGAACCAGAGTCAACAGCTCAACCAGTACCTCCCCTCCCAAACCAAATGCAAGCCCCCTAACCAGGACAGCCTCTACAGGAACCTCCACAGGCATGGATCATTCCATTCTAGATGTAGGGGAGAACTGGAATAGAGCTGGTGCGGGAAAGGTTGTGAGTCTACAGCGAAGCAAGGAAACAGTCTTCCTGGATCTGAGACCGAAAGAAAATGATGAAGATGAGGTAAATGGTGCATTCAAAGGGCTTCGGCCCAAAAGACCGATGGCCTATGAGGCCGACGAGCCATGGACGGCAGTCTCAGTCTCACTGGCCTTCTGAAAAGATATCTGAGGGTTCATGAGACCGAGAGCCCCCTTTGCAAACGGAACATAAGACTGACATGTTAGGTCTTCTTACAAATTTTTGGAGGTTTCTTGAAATGGACACTGTTGATCTGCAGACTGTCTGTGTCATGGGCTTTTGCTCATCTGGGATGTCCCATATTTTAATGCAGTGTGTATGATCACAATCTATTTCAAATATATTGTGATTATGGAAGAATGAGTATATTTCTGTAATATCGTTATTAAAAAAGAACAAGTAGGACTATTTAAGAAAAGAAAGGGCAAATATGTTCTCAATGACAGGATCAAGTATCACAGGAAAATACATGTATATAAAATTAGGGAGAACTGGGAAGAAGAAAAAAACTGTTGTAAAACAACAACATTTAGGATAGTAGGTACAAAGTAGGGGAATCAAGTTGAAATGAGAGGATAAAAAGAATGATGGACGAGAGAAAAGAAAGGTAGTCTTTTGAAAATCGATGTTGAATTTATTTTCTGTATCTGTTCATATTTATTTGTAGGCATCTAGTAGCAATGCACCATCCAATGCTATTCAGAGAATATTGCAGCTACATTCTAAACAGTAAGTATCTAAAGTAGTTATGTTTGTAGATTCAAATGAATGAATGCAGATTCATGTACTTATGATGATGATGATGATGATAACAATATATTGTTGAAACGTATGTTTTCATATGTCACTTGATGTAAGTTAAGATGATGATCAAGCAACCCAATCAACCCATCATTTAAGATTAGGGTTAGCTACCCTGTTTCGGCCAGGGTTGAAGTTATACATTTGTATAGCCCAAGTAGGATATTAAGTAAGATCATTTCGAGGGTTCAGTGACACAAAGACGTAACTCCATATTTTGCCAAAATGAGTATTTGATATCAAAATGTTCAGAAAAATATGGGTTTTCCAGGAAACACAAAGACTTAACTCCACCCAATACCCCATTGAAGTCAGTGGCTACTGAAATATAGACTTAACTCGATTAAGGCCCAAGTGTTCAGTGACACATAAACCACTTTTTTTTTCAAAATGGCCAAAATGGAGTTACTTCTGTGTGTCACTGACTCCTCGATTTGTGACTGTCACTAGAGCAAGTGTTGTGTAACAAGTGAATCATTAATCCTTAACATCTGTATTTTAGAACTGAGGGTAGTTCCAGCGATGATAGCAGTGATGATGAAGACTCCGCTCTCGGATGGCACGAGAAGAGGAGAAAGGTCATGCAGAAGCTAGGTCAGGTCGGAAGCCACTCACCCTTGACCCCCACAGGAGGTCAGACAGGAGAGAAGGAGAGGGCTGCTGCTCGTGATAAAGAACCCATGTGAGTCTTTTAAAGCCCCACTGCACTACTTATAGCTACTTGCGCCCTCTATATAGCAAATAATGCCTAATCGGTGACCATTGGTCCCCCATGATCCCCTTTTTCTTATGTTAATTGAGAGCTGATTTGATGAGATAACCACCTGTCAGTGACCTTGCAGGGAGGTCTAACCCCCCCCCCCCCCCCCCCCCCCCCCCCCTCCGGCCAAACTAGTGCAGACAGGCTTTAAAACAAGCGTTTGTCTGTTAGTGGCCAATTTATTGCTGAAAAGGCAAATCTGGACTTGAAACATACATTTTTATGCATTCTAAAGAATTCAAATTAACTTTTTTCTCAGTGTCATTTATTTCCCATGATTGAAATAAACGTTATAATTTGCTTCTTTTTGGATATTGACAAATCTTTGACATCAGTTTGAGAAGTAAAGAAATATGCTGTGCTTTGTACATATCCAGTTTTCTGTTTTATATATTAAAACAAAAATCTACTTCATTTCTTATTATAGATGATTTTACTTATTACTTCTATTGACTGATGTTTTCAACCACTTTTAGAAAGTTATTGAACATAATACCTGGTAGTTGTTATCTATATTTTCTGTGGATATTCTTGATTTCAGTTGCTTTTCAATGCTATTTCAGAGTATTTCTAATAATGATAGTGACATAACGTGATGTCTAAGTTCTAATTTCAGATTTATTATATCGAGGGTTCAGTGACACAAAGACATAACTCCATATTTTGCCAAAATGAGTATTTGATATCAAAATGCTCAAAAAATTGAGGGCTTTCCAGGAAACACAAAGACTTAACTCCACCCAACACCCTATTGAAGTCAATGGCTAGTGAAACATAGACTTAACTCATTAAGACCCAAGTGCTCAGTGACACATAAAACCAGTTTTTCTCAAAATGGCTGAAATGGAGTTACGTCTTTATGTCACTGACCCCTTGATTTATACTTTCTCATGTATGTATAAATAGGAGGAAGATAGTAGCCAAGCCCCATAGAGTCATACACATGGTGCATGATGAGGAAAATAGATCAACAGAGAGCGGAACACAGACGTTACCAATAGTGAAGGTATTTATACAGCCAATCTTTATTAAATGTTTTTTGGCTAAGTCTTTCATTCCCCTTTGTTATTTGTTTGTATTTTTTGCTATATCCAAAATGGCCTTCCTATGATTAACATGACATTGTCATTCAGAAAATTTCTTTTGTTTTACTATCAAAGCCAGCTAATACTCAGACTGGTATCAAGAAAGAATCATATAATAATAAAAATAATCAGTTTTTATATAGCGCTTATTACAATAACTAAGTACTTCCAAACTTGGAGATTATTATCTCGGCTTTAGCCGGCTGCCATTACGGTGTTCTAGCATTTCAAAGAATTAATTCCTGCCAGGTACCCATTTACATCACCAGGGTTGAGTGTGGCAAATGTAGATCAATGTCTTGCCAAAGGACATTAGTGCCGTGGCTGGTCTCGAACCGTGGACCTTGTGATCGACATTCCGGCGACTTAACCACTCGACCACGGCTCCTCTACATTACAGAATGATTACCATATTTGCCAGCGATAAGGCCGCACCGCCGCATAGGCCGCACCCCCAACTTTGACATTTCGTAGAGAAAAAAAAAAAATAAAAAAAAAAAAACGGACTAAAGAAAATAATCGTAATTTTCTCGTAGAACTCTATTTTTTCTACAAACTAATACCAAAATTATCAATCATTTTATAAATTTACAGGAAGTTTACCTAAAATATGATCATAATTTAGCAAATCTTCATCGATTTTTAGGCAGATTAGCACATTCATGGGACACTAGAGGGCGCTTTGCATGCATACAGAAACCTGAATGTCCATCTTTAGCTTCCATGCAGTGAGTCGGCACTAATAATGTTATCCGGTTTTACCCCTATCGTACCGTCAAATGGAGAAAATAAACAAGCGTTTGTATTGTTATTAGAGATCTACCGAGGTTAGTTTGTCACTTTAATTAGATAGTCTCAATTATAATTCAGAATTATCTTACTGAAAAGTTAAGAACACTGACGATTGCGCGCTGTGAATCTCCGAAGGTGCGTTGGATTTGTTGGCAACTCCCAGCCCCGTAGCTCCCCACCACAGAGTGTGTGAGCTAGGTATGATTTACGTACCCGTGCGCTGTCTAAGGACACTTTTACAAGTACGATTTTTAGTAGATCTACGAGTTTCTGGTCAGTTTTCTTCTTATTCTTTGGTTGCACAACGATTAAAAAGATAACTTCTTCAAATTTGCTGCTGACGTGGTTCAGACTAGATCTTGTCCGATGTGTTTTCAAGTCAATTTTGTTAACATATTCTTTTGTATGAAGTTGCTTACAAATAATGGACGTGCTGTTTTGACTTGCGATTTTTATTGTTTCGGCGTAAAGGCCGCACCCCGACTTTTTGATATTTTCTCTTCCAAAAATACTGCGGCCTTTACGCCGGCAAATACGGTATAATAATTATTTATTAAATCCGCTTCTGTTCTCCATAGCCAATACCAGTACCCACCGAGACCTACAACCTCCAACTCCAACTCCCACCCACCCCGCCCCAGTCACCCTCCAGCCAGGGTAGTCGCACCCCACACCGCAGGTCCAGCATCCCTGAGGACCAAGGGACACACCAGGACCAGGACCAGAAGGTCAGGGACCGGGAACACAATGTGGCCCTGGCGAGGAAGCTCCGGGAGCAGAAGGAGAAGCAGAGGCAGGGGCACCTCAAGTTTCAGAAGAAGCTGGAGACGTTGCATCCGCAAATGACGATGTCAGCCAAGAGGAAGGAGGTTGCGAAGGCCACTGATGTGATCTTTGACCTGGTAAGTGGTCTTTGTCACAAAAATCATGCAGTCAAAGTCTTTCTAAATCATATAATACTTATATTTGCTTATATAGCACCTAGCACTTACTTAATCAGAAGTCTCTAAGCACTCTACATTAATGCAGCACATTTATCCTGGCGTTAGCAGTGCAGCTATTACTCGCTCTGCGTTTCAAGGAATAAATTCCTACCAGGTCCCCATTTATTTCACCTGGATGGAGTGTGGTAAATGTTGATCAATGTCTTGCCAAAGGACATTAGTGATGATCTATGGTCTATAATCTTTTAGTCGAAGATTGGTCCCATGCTGTTCACAAAATAGCTGGCAGTGTGTTCCATATGGTTGACATTGCCAATGCCACATCTTAACTATTCCACCAACTCCAGTACCTACCAAAGCCTATGCAGTGTCATTCCGTGTTACAAAGCCCTCTGATAGCGGGATATCAAAACAATTTATCTGATTGTTATTTCTGTATTGTTTTGATGTGTACTATTGAGGTCGGCCTTTCAAACTTTTTCTCTTATCGTTGATGGAGAAGGATGCTTCACCCTAGAGCTACGAAAACAAGTACTTGTAGGTACATCACGGGGAAGCTACAGCTGTAAGTCTTATCAGAGGGACTAGTCCCCTGGTTTCTAACCTGGAACCTCCATGTGCTAGGACTATCGCTGCATCTTCTGGATCATGTGGCCCTCTCAAAGATGAATTTTACAACTATTTTTACCTTGCCTTTATGCACTCCTTACAGGAAGCATCATACAAGCCCGAATCCAGCCTCCTACCACTGAACCTGAAGCCCACCCACGAGACCGCCCTCCTCACTGTCACCATGGCAACATCCGGAAACATCCTCCTCAACAAGAGCTCTGGCAAGCAGCCCCTGGAGAAGCTGGACGGCCAGATCTCTGGGACATACATAGTCCTGCTGTCATGGCTCCTGTCCCTGGTCCCAAAGGACCTGGACTACCTGAATGACCCAACGGTCCAGGCCAGGTGTGGAGCAAGCGGGATGGACGGTACCCCTTTTAGAGTTGTTGGATTACAACAGGTAAGTGCCCAATTTCTTCTGGTTGTCCCACATATGCTCCGTCCACAATTTCTGGCACTAATTTCTCTCACAGGAGATAAGGATGTGTACACTGAGATAGTACAGCAATGTGTTAAGGAGAGAAGAAAGCCTTTGGCTCGGTAAGCAGTAAATTTTCAGGTTTCTGACCCCATTACTTCTGGTAGACATTGCAGAACCTGATAGGAGATGCTAGTAGAAGATATGAGAGCATCCAGCCTTACTTAGACAGATGCTGAAGAAGGGCCATAAGGGAAATTAAAGGTCCAAACCCGCAGCGTGGGAAAAACGGACGCTAAATGATGATGATGAATCATATCCTTAACTATCCCTAATCATAACCCTATACCTTAACTAATTCTAACCTTTACCCTAACTCAAACCCTCACCCTGAAACCAATGTGAAACTGTTTCTACAATCTGATTGCAACCCAATTATAAATTTTATGTCTTTAACAATATAAAGAGAGGGGATGGAGATACTTACAATACGTCTTTGCCTTAAAATAACATCTTTCCTTTGAAACTAAGCCCCAAATATTTTGTTACGCAAGTCCAAGTGTCTTTATCAGGTAGCTGCAATTTTAAGAGGGTTTTATGTATCTACCACCCAATTTGCAGTACCCTTATCACTCAACATCCTCATCATCAATGCAGTTATTGGTTTTCATTTTTCTTTCGCATTATCCAAGATATGGAGAGACGGTAAGCTCCAGCTGTCAGTAGCCATCACACCACCCTGCATGGACACCACCAAGCAGACACCCGTCAAGGCCAAGAAAGGCAAGCTCCGAGAAGAGGTCCGAGACATGACGCCCTTCCAGCAGACTGTTTCCAAGTTCCTCACCAGCAAGAACCTCCACACCCTGGCACCCTGGATGCCCCTTGCCTTCAAGTTTGCTCTGGAGTTCTCTGGGGAACCCCTGGAGCTGAAACCCATTCCCATGGAGGCACCACGAGAGGGTGCTACAGAAACCGGGACGTACATCCCGCCCTATCCTCAAGTCAGCAGCAAGCCTCTCGCAACTTACATGTCAATGAGCACGTCTCCTAGTGCAGTGGAGAGTGCCTTCGCGTCCATCCCGGGATTCTTCTGGCGTACGCTGGACGCTGAGGAATCGGCATATGATCAGATGACTAATGAGGAATACAGCAATAATGGCGATACGCAGAACACCCTGACTGTTTTTCATGATGCAATATACCACTTCCCTTCCAGACAAGCTGGAGTGTTGTATCGCCTTCTCCAAGAAGGGCTGGACATCTCTGGTCTTAGGCTCATGTACAACTCCAAGGACCTTCTGTCAAGTCCTAGGGTCACTAGACCAAAGCAGGGTGGTGATGAATCAGGATTGACCATGCCAGTGGTCGTTCTTGGCATCCGAGGCAACCTGGCTCGCACCCGATGGCTAGATGCAGTAGGTCCATCGGATCCTCAACTCGCCAAACGCACGGATCCATATTCCCTGATGGCCCTTTACGGAGGGACCTCCCGTGACGACCTCACCATCATCTGCCCTCGAAACCCAAGCCGTATTAATTATGAACTCTCACTTTGGTTTGGAGCAAGAGGCACCAATGACCGACTGGTTGAAGCTCCGGTAGTCAGTGAGTCTGTGCCTTCCCGTATGGACAGGAGAGTTAGATCTGAGAGTCCCAAGCAGAAGAAGAACCGCAAGGGATCAAGAAAAGATTCCTGGTCCAGCAGTAGCAATGAAGACCTGGACACATCGGGGTAAGAATATATCTCATCCAGAAGCTTTAAAAAGCTAAAAACAATGTTTTAGCAGGGAAAATCCTCCAACCTGTATCATTTGCTGGTCACTGAGTAATAGTATATTTGGCATTTTAAATCGAATAACACCCTCTCAGAAGATAATGCATTTGTTTTGATAATTGATGCATTTCAATATTACTAATACCCTTCATGATATTGTAGTCTGGACTGAAGTAAAAAAAATCTGTCAATTTTAAAGCCCCACTCTGCTACTTATAGCTACCTGCTCCCTCTATATAGAAAACAATGCTGCAGTGACCATTGGTCCCGCATGATCCTCTTTTTCTTATGTTAATTGGGAGCTGAGTTGATGAGATAGCCACCTGTCACTGACCACCCTGGGTGGTCTGATCCCTCCTGGCCAAACTAGTGCAGTGGGGCTTAATTGAAATCACAGAAAACAGACAACCAAAATTCTTTTATGATTGATGCTTGAAACTGCAATGAATAATTTGAGTCTCTGTCACTCCTGCCCCCCTTACCAGGTTGTCACCCACTACCCTAGTAGCCACCACCACCGGAGACATGGTGCTAGCGGTCTCGCCCCTGGTGCCTCCTATGTGCCTGGGAATGATCCTATCCACCTGCCAGGAGAGGGGCTACCAGTTCAGAGGGGTCAAGAGAGTGCGCCTCAACTCCAGGAGAGCTAATGCACTAGGTAGGTGGTGGTTCAAAGAGCATTCCTTCACATTGTGAACATCTTTGTCAGTAATGCCAGTTTTCAGTCTTTTGTCAAATGTCAAGTGTGTGTGTGTATGTAATTGGATTTTTACAGACGTGTGTCTATCAGATATGATACGTGACTCAGTTTCAAACCTGCGTCCTCGGCTGAATCAGTTTGTAACTTCCATTGGTAGCTGGATTACACGCGAATGCATGCCACAATGCCCCGTCAAGCTCACTCATACCTCTTCAGGCATTTATACCATACCAGCTTTATATTAAATTAACATATGGGGTTTCAATCCTCTGGGAATCTCTTCAATCTAGTTTAGTATAATCAACTGGTATCACTGCCTATGTGTACCATATTTGCTGATCAACACATTTTTCAATAGACATCACTTAACAACAGAGTTGAATAGGATATATACGGAAAAGGCTCTCGTAACTTTCAGTTACAGACTGCAATATTTATGTAGCCTATTAACAAGTGATTCTTTTTCTCACAAGATTTAAGCTTCAATTTTTTTAAACGGGCTTACAGGGTGAACAAGTCTCCATCTTTTGTCCTAGGTCATGCTTCACACAGATCTCCTCTTAGGACAGCAAAGAAGCCATCCCATTTCACCCAATGTGTTTTTGATGTCATTAGAAGACTAACTTTAATTTGTCCACCTGAAGTTGTCATACATTATCTTCAATCTGTACATCCCTTGACAGGCTTACAGGGTAAACAAGTCTCCATCTTCAGTCCTATGTCATGCTCCACGCCAACCTCTCCCAAGAACTGCGAGGAAGCCCTGAGGAAGCGTTTGGAAGCTGGTCTACCGGCCTCCACCAACCCTCCGCTCCCATCAACCCTGGTCCACCTGAGAGCTGAGAACCCCATGAGGAACGCTGGTGGACTCGTACATGCACTCATGCTGCAACTATCAAGACAAGGTAGGGGTGGTATTCTGCTGCCCTCTCTTGACATAAAGAAGACAAGAACTATCGAATTTTGTGTGAAAATATAAGGAAAAGCATGTGCAATAATGTACAAGTCCATGTAGCTAAATTCAAGGACCCTACTAATGTTGTAGATTTTTCACTGCCATTGCAGTTTGTTATCAATTATCACCTTTCTTGTTATGTGGGATAGCAATATGCTGTATGTTGGGCTTTTTAATTTTGTTATTCTGTGTTTTGTAGGTGTTTAAATGTTGCTACATTTTTTTCCTGCTCTTGTCCAGGCGTAAAGAAGTAAACAAACAAAAATGGCCTATAAACAGTGTCTTGTCCTAATCGCATGGAATGTTTGGTCATAGTGAAGAAGTCCACTTGACAAATGACAAATGTCACAGGTCAATTAGCAGCAAAAGATGATTTTCATATGACTAGTTACTCAAGGATGTGTTATTTGTATTTAGTTTACAGTTTTCATATGTTTGTAAGATATATACATGTGTATTTTTTCCAGTTTGTATCATAATATTTTGGTAAGTGTAGGATGCTTAAATTGCTTATTTGCTGCCAGAAAACAAAATATTTTGTTTCTATCCCGTCATTTGCATTTAATATTTCTCTACTAAACATGACCAAAATTTGAAAGGGAGTGAGTCGTCAGTTTCCATATGCAGAAAGCCATAATTTGTCAGACTTGATGGGGAAAAAAAAATCATTATTGTGTGTACAGGTCTGCACACAGCAAACCCGTAGGCCAATCAAGAAATACCCCCTCGGCTCTCGGAGAGTCTTCGGGTGAGGGAAAGGCGAGATAATGACTTTACCATTTGGGGGAATGGGTGGAAAACGCAGTACATTACATAAGGCCTGCTGGTCATGAAACTGAAGGCTAATTCTGGTGATTGACAACACCTCTTCTTGGGTAAACACCTGAACGGTGTTGAATTTCCCATGAGAGCTAACTACTATGTGTCTTTGATATATTTCTTACCAGGTCTACTATCATCCATCCAAGCCAATGCTGAAACCAACCTCAAATCCAGCTTGTGCTTCCATGTCGCACCTTTCTGTGACAACCTCCTTTCCAACCTGGGAGGTGATTTCAGCCTCATCCCAGAGCACCACGTCTACCACGGAGTGTCCGTGCCTTCCACGTTCTACTCCAATCCCGAGCTGGAGCAGATTGTAGTCGTGACATTCTCAGGTGCCAAGACGCTGAAGCTGTTGGGGAACACGCTCGGGAAGCTGCTAGGTGTCTACCCAGTGGTGAGTATACAAATAATACACAGCAGTGAGAATTACCCACACGCGGCTCCTTTGGAACAGTATAACACGCCTGAGGCGATAGCAGAGGGTGTTTGGACTGTTTTGAAGGTACTGAGTGTGGGTAATTTTACTAATGCTTGAACAAAATGATGTGTATTATTTGTTTCATGAGATTATGTTTTATTTATAAAATGATGTTTTAAAACGTGATTTCGATAATGACCGGTCATTACCATTGGATAATGACCAGTCATTATCTAAATTAGGCGTCAGGCAAAATAAATGCCTGGTCACGAGTACGCTTATAACCAATCATTTGATTAGGATCCACATCATCATCTTATAATAAAAAAAATTGTATCAAGATATTCACTGCTGCTTTTTGTATTCAAATCTAGACATCTACAAACAACCTCCTGACTCCACGCGCAAATCCCGGCGAGGGTCTAGAACTCCTCGGCATCAAGTTCCTACCCTCCCTGACTGCCTTCCAAGCCAAGGAGCTCACCCCGTTCGAGATCGGTGACCGTAGCTGGCAACCGAGCGTCCACACCCTGGTGTCCAACCCTGCCGTCGTCTGCATCCTGCGTGGGATCAATGCCTTCCACCATGTTCGCTCCGTCCTCAAGATCCCGACGCACCCCAACGATTTCCGGCGTGGCGCCAAGCTGGAGCTCTGCATGGAACGGCTCATGTCGGCGTCGGCCGAGATCGCGTTCCGCCAGGCGTCCATGTTCTTCCGCGATCATGAGCTGTTCGCGGACCCTAGCATGAGGGCTAATCTGCCGTACCAGCCTCCGTTGCGGAGCCCGAGCCTGGAGGAATTGTCCAACGCGAGGTTCGCCTGGGCCGAGGACCATGGCTCGAGTGCTAAGAAGTCCAAGTATAAGGCTAATTCTGGAGAGACTAAAGGAACTGTACTGGTGGAGGAATCCATTTTCAAGACAATGCTTGCTGGTGAGTTTATTCATTCTATCCTATGACTTGATGAAAATAACAGATGCAATATAGAAAAAACAATGTCTAGCTGACATGGAAATTGACTGGTTATCCTTGCAATGATATCTCCAGACCAAGACCAAAAGGGAACAGATCATGAGATTAAATGATAGATGCCTTCTCCTCTAGATTTTGTTCTGCTTTGATTAATACTTGTTTATGTTTCAGGCCACCGATAATGATAATTATTAATAATATGTTTTGACCAATGCATAATACAAAATGTTATGGCGCTCTGCTTTTTTATGAAAAGTAGAGGATAAAAAAGATCTAAATAAGCAGAAAATTAAAATTTGTACGATGATCAACAATAAGCGTAATTTTCTAACTGAGATTGAAAACAAATATAAAATGCCTTTAAATATGTAAAATGGAGTTCACCACTGAAGTTGATTTCATTGACGATTATTTTGTGCTTATTTGGTTATTCTGCAAGGCATTTCTGTTTAGTTATCAGAGATACATATTGCATCTTTTCTTGTAGGTCCAAGGCCCATCACAACAACCCTCGTCATCAAACCAGGAGCTCTCAAACACTTCTCCAAGATCCTCAAGCGAGTCTCCCAAGAGGACTTCATCGTTGTAGCCCTTCGCCTTCTCACCCTCAACGACCACCAGGCTAGGGCACTAGTCCCTGAGCGAGAGTCGGAGAACTTGGTCATCTGCGGCATGCACCTGGGCCATCTAACGTCTGGTCCAGTCCTAGTCTTGGTCCTGCAGAGGGAGAATGCGGTTAGGAAGCTGCTGGGTCTCTTGGGACCAAACAACCCTAAGGAAGCCAAGAAGAAGAACGAGTTCCTCTGGAGGGGCATGTTTGGAGTAGATCCAATCAACAATGCTCTACATGGTGTGTATCTCTGATAACCCCCTCCCTCTCCCCCCTAACCCCCCTCCCTCTCCCCCTAATTCTTGAATGTGATGATTTTCAATATTCTCGTCATAAAGATGCATAGTTTCACTGATAGATCACTCGGTTATTCACCTTAAGTTACGTTCATTATAGGATTTGATCTAATGTAATATAGAGCCGTTATAATTGCTATTGTTGTAATATGGGTCAGTGTTAACTTTGTATATTGTTCCTGTCTACAGACGACTACAGAGTCTTCAACTCCTGTAAACAGTTTTTGGAATAATATTTTTGAAAGGGATTAAGCACACTTGCAGTGATTGCCAGCATGCGGTGAACTATCATCGTTAGTTAACAGTCATCCATCAGCCTTTAATGAAAAATATACAGAAGCAATGGAATCTCGAATCTCGCAATGGAATACGTATACTTTGTTTTTAAAGTACATATATATATGTATGAAAGCAGATTGTATTGTTATAATTTTATGAAATAGACAACTAATCAAATATTTTGTTTGGTGCAGGTTCCACGACGTATGCCAAAGCTGTGGAGGAGCAGATGTTGTTCTTTCCCGAGGGACTATGCTGTAAGCAAACCTCAGACATCAAGGCTGAGAAGGTACAACTCACATTCACTCTATTCCCTTGACACTTGAACCCATCCTAGGTAGATGCTTGGAGGGGATGGGGGATGTGATACCCCCCTCATCGACCATGAAACATTTTCTGCAAACAACTTTTGGATTTTTAAAGCTCTTGTCAGTAGATCCATTTCTTCGTGACCCCCCTTCCCGCCCCCCCCCTTTATTAATTTGCATGTTCTGAAATTTGTGGCAACTATTTTATCCCACCAGCCTTTTTAGAAAATGTTTTTGATTGATATTCCTGTCCACTATGAATTGAAGCTTGAGCTTAATCTTGAGGTGCCAGGGAGTACAAATTTGTCATCTTTCATATGGACATTTGGAAAGATCATGAAGGTGGTTTCATACAGAATGTTGATTTTCATAGATTTAGCTTGTGTCATTTTACAGTATCAATTTTTTAATCAATGATTGTCTCAAAAAGTTGTGTAAGAATATTCTAACTCATCAGACTAACGTTAGATGCATAGAGACTAAACTCTCCTTCTCTTTCTTTCTCCTGGCAGATTCTCTGTCCAGCCGTCGATACCGTCCTAGGTTCCCGCCGGGCCTCCAAGAGGAGCTTCATGCTAAGGATAGGAACCTCGAGGGGTGCAGGAGACAACGATTTGTCGGCCAGTGACAGTTCCACGTCTCTCAATGGCGATCTGAGTCCCAGGAAGATAGGTGAGTTGCAAGGGTTTGAAATGTAGTCAGTGTGCCAGTGAGAAGCTAATAACACTCCTTGTTTAATTGCTGGATTTTGACATATGAATAAATGCTATCAATCAATAAATTTAATAATTTATTTATTCATGGCATTAAAATCCCATTGACGGTATTTTCTGGGTCTATCATATAATAAATCCACAATTAATCCTTCGGATAGAATGTGGTGTCACAAGTTTCTAGTAGCTCACCTTGAACATAAAATACATTATGTTATGTGTGTGTGTGCTTGGGGGTGGGGCTATCTTTAGCTCAAGTTTTAAAGGAGTGAGATATGTTGCTTTTTCCCTTCCAAATTGCCCTTGTGTTGGCAAATTGCGTAAAGGTATTAAATCCAACCAAGTAAAGTGAGAATAAGCATCAGTCTGTGAAAAGTTTTATGTATAGTTTGTTTTCTTTTGCTTTAGAATTGTTTTGTATCTGCCTAATGCTATTTGACTCTCTGATTGCTATGTTTCAAATACCCAGACTGCCAAATTGTTTGGAGTACATATATGGTATGTATGGCAATAGTCAAGAGGGGCAGTATCTGGTTACGTTACTAGTCGACTGAAGCCTGTAAAGAGTACATAATGAATATTAAATTCTGATACGTGTTTCATTTTCATTATCTCAACAGGTGTGGGTACAAGCACAGGTGACCTTGCTCTCCATTCCCACAGTGCATTGTGCCAGACCAACTGCATCCTGTTGACCCCACCCCTTCAGTTGCTCAGCGTGCAGGGACATCGCAAGGGCTACGTGGACGTCATCGACTGCCTCAGGCATCGAGGCTTCGTCATCGTCGGTGCCAGGATGGTGTGGTTTACACAGTCCCAGGCCAAAGAGTTTGTTTCTATCTACAGCGGGGCTTTTCCCAATCTGGTAAGATGATTAATCCTTATCATCCCCTTGCCGAGGAGGTCGGAGGGGATAACGCTGCCGTCTATATGGTTTCTGTTCCATAACTTTATTAATTTGTGACGGATTTCAATGAAATTTGATATGAAGGTACATGATATCAAAATACAGCCTAAATTTGATTTAAGAGTAATTATGTCAATGGTCACAGCTCACTAAATGTGCTAAAATTGCTCAATTAAGGCCATTTGTATTTTTGCTTTGCATTGACTTGTTTGTTTTGTGGTTTGAATATGATTTATTTTTAGATTTTTATGATTGGCTGTATTAGAATTGTAGTATGGATTGTGCACTTATTCAATATGCATTCATGTTAAATGACATATATAATCAAGTACACTTGTCTTGTATTTTATTCCATTGACAGGTCCAACTGCTCTGTCATGGACCAAGCATTGTGCTAGCCATCCAGAGGGATAATGCAGTGAGCTGTTTGGGGTCTCTACTTGGAAAGTAAGTCAGCCATATGATTGATATAATCAGTTTGGCCCTCTTTTGAGTAGACACATGCAAATAAGGAAAGAAAATGGTACTACATGCAGTCAAACCTGTCTATAGCGACTGCCTAAGGGAAACACAAAGTGGTCTTTGTAGACAGGTTCCTTTAGTACATGTTTCAATGAGAAACCAATTTCAAGGGAAACAAAAATGTGGTCTTTGTAGATGGGTGGTCACTAAAGCAGGTATGACTCTTTATTGAAAATCAAATTGAGCATGTAGTATCCATTCAGAAATTCCTATTTTCACTGGTAAAAGTTTTAAAAGATTAATTTTCAGAAAGAAAAAGTCATAATCATAGACTGATACAGTAATGGTAAAATACATTTGTTATAACTTTAGTTGGGTAGGTGACATGAAATCTGTTTTGTATGATGAGGATGCGGACAGAGGTCTTAATATAAAGAGGTGTTAAGATGTGAAGTATGAACATAAAGAACGAGAGGGTTGAATGTGTAAAAGAGAGCAAGATACCGAGATGGTGAAGAGGTTGATGATCGAGAGAATGAGATAGATAGCAAGTGATCTTAGACCATTGGGAATGAACATATGGGCCTACTTATGAAATGTATAATTCTTTGTATTTTTCGTTTTGTTTATGCCATACTCCTTTTGTACATTCTGTGTTTATAATATCATCTTTAATACCCCTTTGTATATATTATATTATTCTAGTTGCAAACTGACCCCTTCAACCTGTGCTGCTGGTCAGTTTTTGTACACCAATAGATAAATAAATTAAACAAAAATAAATGAGTTAATAAATAAATTTAAATAAAACAAGCATTTTAGTTTGACTGTTCACCTGTTGTAAGATCAGTCTTAAAACATGTTTAACAATGCTTTTCTTTCTTCTCTTACAGCATGCTAGACAAAGATTCTGTCATCAACAAGTATGGAAAACATATCTTGAGGCCTAAGGATACCAAAGAGGTAAATTTTCTTTTTGATCTCTAGGCATTTTGTTTAAAGAGAGGAGATGAGTAAACAGAGGAGATGAGTAAACAATGTCAGTGTTTTCTGAGTCATTGTAAATAAATATGTTTTAAATTAAAATGGCTCAGTCTCTGTCAAAAGCAAATTGATACAGCTATGACAATTTTTCTCTCGTTTTTAAAAATGTCTTTTAGATTTTTCACCAGTGCTGTGGCATTTGTTAAATGTAATGCCATCTTCTAAGGGATTTGATTCAAGGATTATATAAGAATGAGAAAATGCCAAAACAATAAATGTGTATTAGGTGTAGCTTAATCAGAGAACACACCTGGGGGATGTTTCACAAAGACTAAGATCGACTTTAAGTTTGACTTAACTATGGCAGGCCGTTCATGCCATTGTTTGCTCTTACCATTTGCTGGCATTGGTCTCTCAAGGGACGTACAAATTATGGTCACAAATCTACAGAATTTATACTTTTTTATAATTCATTATTGAAGGAAGAAATATAATCTAAAGATCAGAATGGTGAGAGCAAACAGTGGCATGAATGGCCTGCCATAGTTAAATCCAACTTAAAGTCGATCTTAGTCTTTGTGAAACACCCCCCCCCCCCCCCCCCCCCCCCCCCCCGGTTTGTTAACAGTAAGAATGCTGTGAATCGATTGGAGCTGGCCTGTTTGCTCATTTGAAGATGTGCCTTTGTGTTGAATCTCTTGAATACCTCGCCAAAGGCATCTCGACATTGAACTGACAACGTACATTTATTCCGAGTTTCCTTTGGTTAATTGTATAAAATATGATTCAGCTTGAGGCAGAGTAGAGGAATTGAGATTTAAAAAAAAAAATTCCATTACATTCTGATTATTTCATTGTTTTGTTTTGTTTGTGTTCACAGGCAATCAAGCATCTAGAGTTCTTCTTCAATGAGTTGATGCCGGGAAGTCAAGGAGAGATTGTATCAGATGATGTCTCGTTGGGATTCCTTTCATCTTAACATCATCAAGACTACACCAAGATTCAATAAACGGACTGTGAAAAGAAAAATAGAAGCCTTGATTGCTGTTTTTTGCAATGAGACAGAGCCGTTGCGTTATTCAGTGTCATGCGATGACATTAAGCTTAAAGTTGGAAGAGATCATTTATGGAAAATTTTTGCCTTGTTTTGGTTGAACCTTAAGTCACAAGGAAATGTGAAGATTGCAATATTACATCGGACTGAATCAAACCGAATTCAAGCCCATTTTTTCTTCTTTTCTTTCTTTTTAGTAAGAGCAAGAAAACAATTGCATTGAGTAATTTCCTTTGATGGTACTGTGAACAATGCTGATTAGTTCAAACAATATCTTAGCTGGAGTTTTTTTTTAATGATCTGTTATGATGCACCCATGTTGTTTTCATGAGAAAATCACTTGGCTTGAAGTGAACTTTTTATTCATTATCAAAGAATTGATCATAAAATCCTAACAGGGATGGTGGAAAATCTGTAATCCTTTTTAATGTTATTCGAATTGTAAGCCTGTATGTGGGAGTGTTCACACTTTTTTTTCCTGAAATAATTGTATTGTACACTTCTTTCTCATAAAATCTGTGAATGCTCACTTTGTGTTCTATTGCTGTGGATCATATGTCAAAGTAGACTTGAATCAGTGCTCCGCACTAACTTTGTTTTTTTGAAGGGGGTCTAGGACGAACTTTGGAGAGTCAGCATGCACATACCCTATGTGAAAATGTTGACATTTTTTAGGTCTGAATTTATATTTTTGGCCCCCAAGTTGTTCTGGGCGCCCGCTAGTGTCAAGCCTTGCTTTAGGGTCTGTATTTTCCAACTTCTATATGTGTATAGTGTGGAAGTATGGCTGGAAGGAAGGAGTTTACTTTTAGAGAAGGATTGAAGCAATAGTATTCCACGAATCTGACATAAATTTGAATGACTAACGTATCTGAATGAATGAAATGGTAATGAAATATCTAGTGTGTATATATGTTGAATAGATTGTGCTAAATGTACATATTTATATGTATATATGAATTTATATAAATTGAATTTGAGTTGATGTTTGTGAATAAGAGATAATTACTACATTCTAGATAATTGGAGATATCGAATAGAACATAGTCGTGTTTGCGCTCATCATGAATAGTAGTAGGAAAAACAGAAAAATAATTCCAAGATAAAATATGTGCTTTACAAGACTTTGCAGAACTCCGTCCAGAGTATGTTAAGAAAAACTTGACTACTTATTCTTTGGTACTCAAATGGTATGTCTAACTTTATTTTCATGTTCAACCAAACTTTTCTCTCAATTCAATTTATTTTGCCAAGTAATACAAATAACATACAGGGTAAAAAAAAAAAAGTATACAAAGTATCACACAATTACAATTACTTACAAAGATAAACACAGAATCAATTTACAAACACGAATACAAATCATTTAAGGTATTACAAAGTTTTGGTATGGGGTCATGAATTTGGTTCAAATTAACATATTGGAAGCATATGCGCTCCTATAATATACATTGATCGTTGTCGCGGTTGAAATCGGGTCTAAAGTTATGGAATTATAAATAATAAACTCTTAATGTTGTATAGCTCCCTCTCAAGGTCAAGATATTAATTTAGCTATGAAACAGTGTTTCTTGACTAAAATCAACCGATTAGCTATTCACGTTTGGAAGATTTAATTTAAGCTATAGTAACAAGTAAAACAAATAACAATTACATGTACGATATCATAATTAATTTAACAATCATTGAAATCTTTAGCTATCTCTATCCTTCATTCCCTTCATAATCCAAATATTAACAATCACCTTGAAATAATATAATATTATATAATATATTATATAGTATTGAAATGGATCTTTATGTCTGTCCACCATTCAATACTGGTTTTGAATTCACTTTTCTATTTCTCACTTTTCGTTTCCAGTTTGAAATTTTATCAAATATAATTTCATTGCACTTTTTATTGTGAAAATTATTTGATTGTCATCACCACATTATCGGAGGATGTTTTTATAAAGATTTTGTGCCATTTTTTGTTTTACTTTGAGAAAATGAGAGTGATTTGCTGCAACTTTTAAATCCAACCATTTATTTGTCATTTGATCTCAAAGTACTTATGTACATAATGTAAATTTTATTCATTCATGTATGTACATATTGACTTTTGATCAGAAATATTCAGTAGCAGTAGCTACATAATCCTACTTTGTCTTTCTCAACATTTACAAATTTGAATATGCAAGCAAAAATATTGTTCATTCTGTATATACTGTTAACAACTACAATATTCATACCCCCCTTTGTAAATTTGAAGTGTTTGTGTTTCGGAACTCAAGAATAAAAGATGAAGTGCTTGAATAGGGGCATAATATGTGAAATACTTTTGGATGAAAGACTTAAAACCTCACATTTTAAAGAAATGTAAATCAGGACAAATCATTTTGTTCACATACTTAAAGAGTTACAAAACTTGGTAAGGGTATGAATGATTTAGTTGTTAACAGTATATTATCCAAGAACTATATGACTATATATATATATATATATATTAGCATTCCATTGATCTTTATGTCTTCTGTTTGACTGAAAAGGTGTTTATATGTTTTATCTTTCTCCAGTATGCTTATTTTGGAGATGGTGATTACAAATATATTTCAAAATGTGAAATGAAAGACCTTATGGCTGCTTCTTCTTATGTAGTGTATGTACATTTAATTACAAATTGACTTCTAATTCCATATACGGATAAATACAGGACAAATGTACAAAACAAATTATATGAAAAAACATACAAATATGAGCATAACTGTAAATAATGAATATGAGACTAGATTCATTACATATTGGCGATACCTTGCTCAATAGCTCGTTCATGAATGTGTTCTATATTCATTCATTTATTTCTGATATGTATACAGGGTGGCACATTTCACCAATTATGGTGGTCTTCCATGAGGCCCTGTGTGGTAACAATGCTCTTCAATAACAACCATCAAAGAAATTAGATAACAGCAACAAAATAATATAGAGAAATAAATACACACACAAATATATACATATATATATATATATAACCCTACATGGTACATTAAGTGGACATCATACAAATCCTAACCCTAAACCTAACCCTAACCCTAATGTCTACTTAATGACTCATTTTTTCACTCCAAATGTCCCTCTAATGACGCTTTTAGTAAAATATACATATATATACAAGTATACAAATTAATAGGTAGCCTCATGAAAAGCGGAGTATTCAAGAAATACAGTTGCACATTTTTGATATCTTATTGTATGTACAGGCAGTAAAAGTTTGTAATCACATGCTTGATAGTCATGAGATTTTCAGGCATTCTTACACAAAACAAATAGTAATATATCAACAAGAGAAGATAGCCTCTTATTGATTAAAAAGATCATAAGCAACGACAAAAAATGTAAATTTATGTCATCTGATATAGCCTGACGGGATACCAAATTTGCTATGTACATATTTACATTGGATATATTTTAAGATAGTTATTGCATTTAAAATAATACAAGTAATACACTTTGATTGTTCACAAGGTAGCTGAATGATTAAATATATGTGCACACTTTAATACAAAGGAAAGCACAAAAATATGGCAAGGACTCGTGCTGTTCATTTAGTTCAAAAGTTTCATGTCAACCTATGTTTACTAAAATGTATGCATTTGGCACGTTAACAAAATAATTCACTTACAGGTAGTTCTGCTGCAATTATAATACTGTTATATTTAATATATTATGGCAGAAAGATGATCAGTATCTGGTTAATTGGTATAGTTAAATCTGACATTTAAAAAAGAAAGAAAACAAGAAGTGATTTATCAAGTAAACATACATTACTGTATTTTATATTTGCAAGTAGAAGACTATTGACAGTGAGAGGATGTATATTGAGAATTCATTCAGATAATAGTTATATAAACATTTGAACTGTTCTATAAAGAATTGTATTGGAATTAGTGCAGATTTATATACATATTATGGATTGATATTTCAAATTGCTACTGTACTACCCATGAGCCCCTTTTCCTCCAGCCTGGCCCCTATTACTACCCCTCTCCATCTCCTGCCCCTCTTACCTCCCCTTTTAGGGAGTCTGTATGGACTAGCAAAACTTTCAGAATCATATTCCAACTAAATTTGGGGACTCAGCCTCACCTCTCTTGCCCAAGTGGCCCGTGCGAAGTCTCGAGTTGTTGAGGAGAAAGGGCAGGCGAGCAGAGCAGGTTGACCAATACCTTTCATCACAACCTCATTGAGGAGAACTACAAATGATACTTCTATTAGAAGAAATACATAAATAAATGATCTTGGCTGTCGAATGTCCGAAGAACACAAACATTTGAATGTTTGTAGTTATTGATGTAAGAAACAAGATGGTATATTAAGTTTTTTTCCTAATATGCAAATTGTTATTGTTATAACCTAATTAATTATGCAAAATGCTAATTTTATGCATTTTACAGAAAACTCTTGTCTCTAGACTTGTAAAGAATCTTGAAAATGTATTGCATAAATGTTTCCTTCATTTCAAATTCAATCACAGAAAATGTGAAGGGGGTAGGGTGCCTCCCAGGCCCCCACCCCCCTTCAGTACCGTAAGGGTTAAGGTTGATGGACCAAGAAGATATCGGCCGATGCATTATAGACCAGCATTGGTTCCAATTTCATAATTTCCCAAATGGGCACTTTAAGCTTAAAGAGGCCATTATGATAACTGCATGCAAGAAGTTACATTTAAAAGCTTTCGGTTGCGTTCTGTGTTACCTCTGAAGGATAGATTATATGTAACATTTCTGTGCCACCATTTTTTTCCCTTCAATTTATTTAATAATATTCAACAGTTATCATAATCTAACTCTCAAGAGCTGGATAATGGATTATTATGCTTATATGAGAACGAATTTTACAATGCTTGTACAGTATCTAGAGTTGACAAACATCATGTTTTCTTCTCAAGGTATATGAATTTCTGTACATGAAAGACCCTCTTTATAATATTGTTCCTTTGCTAAGACAATCATATATTTTCATATAAAACACAACATATATATATATATATTAAACAAAATGCTGACTGAAGTTAATATATCATGAATCGTTAAACTCATGATGGCATGGACATAGTGTACAAACACACATACCTGTACATGTCTGTAAAGTTGATGCCTTTGCATATTAGTGTAGAATGGAATTTAGTGTAGAATGGAACTCCTCCTTGAAAAGGATTCCCCCTAGGATCATCTACTAGTTGATGTGAAAAGGCTGATGTGAGACACATAACCTCCCAAAGTCAGTATGAAATGACCTACATGTATACAAACAGTGATTCAGAAAGTATGGGAATAAAACTGGGTGCTCCAATATACATGGCTGTATATGCTCTGGTGACAAATGCTCTGGGCTTCTTTGGTCAAATATATAGGATTTGGATACGAGCTGCACATAGGTTTGAGCTTACGTTTAGTGATAGGTATACTCTTTGGTGCAGAATTAAAGTTAAGAATTTGAATTCAAATGGTTGACGGAGCATGTGTCCGACAACACGAGGACTGACAATTACAGCCGTAGGGCATTTAATTACTACTTCAGCTAATGGTGTTATAGGGTTACATCTAGTTTTTGGTGCGGTGTTAACCATACAAATTCAGTTAGTGCACTCCCCTTCCCAAACGTGTTTAATTAAACACCTCAAGTTAGTCTACAACAAAAATCAAAATCCTTTATCTGAAATAAACCTTTGGTTTATTTTTTGTTAGAGAACACCATATTTTCAACTCGAGCTATATGAATTCTGTATTATACACTGCACAAGAAAAACCCTCTTTATAATAATTTCCTTTGTCTGCTAAGACTATTGTATATAATTAAATATAATTCATTACACAAATTGATCAAATATTGACTGTTAAAATATCATAACTCCTTAAACCTATCTCCACTGCTACATGTGTCCATTCATTCATGATGGAATGGATATCGAGTACAAACACACACAAACATATATACCTGAAAGGTTGACGCCTTTGCATTCAGTGTAGAATAGAACTCCTCCTGGAATTCATTTCCAACTAAGTTCAGTATAGTCAGGTTTGGCATGGAACACAGAGCATCTACGAAGTGATGTGTAGAGGTTGATGTCGGAAAAATTACTTCCGAAAGCCAGATAGTTTCAACCTACATGTATACAAACAGTGATTCATACAAGATCATTACTAGAGAGAACGTGTTTTGATTGAATGACTGCAAATATAACTGGGTGCTCCGATATACATGTATATCTATGGCT